CGAAGAAAGAGGTGAGCATTAGGAGGCCAAGGGTTAAGAGATACGAAAGCGGAGGGCTCCTGACTCATTCCGAGAATCATACTTGTAATGTTTACACTGAACAGGTGAGGAAGACGATGGAAATAGTTAAATATTAGGGTTGTTTTTTTTTTTAACAGACTTCCTCAGCCTAGTGAGTGAGGAAACCCTGAATCTTCTGCAGCTAAGCTCTCACCCAGCCTCCAGAGCAGGTGTGTGAGGACCCCCGGTGGACAGTGAAGTGAGCTTCGTGCGGCACAGGAGCAAATTCACAGCGCCCCCCGCATGTCTGAGCTCTCGGCGTGGGCGTGGAGCAAGAATCACCACACACTGAGCAGCACAGATAAAGGACTGACTGCATTCAGACGGTTCCAACAGACCAGAACAAGGCACGGTCACGAGCCGCTGCCCCCCCTCCGCCCCCCGTCATCAGTGCCAAGGAGACCACACCCCTCCCCGACCTTCAGTCTCAGAAATGGTCGGGTGACAGTGGAAACAAGGGCAAGAGACAGGCAACTCTCATCAGTCCAGCTAACTCCAGCTGTTGTTTTTTGACTTCTCTTCCACTCTCTGCCTTCACTGCTTGGCCAAACTCCAACAGGGTCCGTTTTGTGGCTTAAGGACAGCACTGGTCAAGAATGTTGAAACTGATAAAAATAATGACAACAGCAGCTGATATTTATTGCGTGCTAGTCACCAGGCCCTCTCCCCTGATCATCTCGGTTAATCCTGGCCATAATCCTGGCCCGCAGGTACCAATGATCTACACAGTGATGATCAGAGAGGAGCAGTGAGCCCAAGGCCTCAGAGCCGCCACCCAGGGAGCCAGAAGAGAAACCCACGGAGTCAGCTTCTGAGCCCTCCATGTAACCCCTGCACCTACCTGCCTGAGAAGGAGGTTTGGGGTGCGTTTCTGGACATATGCATCCTATCCCAGAGTTTTGGCTGTAAACCCTGAGGTATTAGTTCTAGAACTGTATCTTGAGCTGTGTCTGTTGATCTTCCCAGGGTTCTGGCAAAGAAACTGTTTCCTCTTTGGAGGAAGCGAAGAACTTCTGTGGTTTTTCCCAGTCACCAAAAAGAAAACCAAACGTGTTGCTGTTGATTCCAACTCATAGCGACCCCATGAGAAAGTAGAACTGCCCCATAGGACTTCCAAGGAGCAGCTGGTGGATTTGAACCGGTGACCTTTTGGTTAGCAGCCGAGCTCTTAACCACTCTTTAGAGTCATGCAGGTTAGGGAGCCCCTTCCTGCATCTCCAGCAGGGGGCAGCACAGCAGGGCTCGGCTGGATGCCAGGGCCTCTGGCCTCCTCTCTGACCATCTCCACGCTGCTGCTCCGGCAGCTGACAGGAAAGGAGGTGTGTCAAAGGACTGACAAGGCTCGTTATACCACCCACATCCTTCCTGCTCAGCTAGGTTCAGTATTTTGGTAACTGCACTAAAAACAATGACAGTTTACATTGGAGAGAGGAAACTCGGGGCGCAGTGGCCAAGCGCTCAGCTGCTAACCAAAAGGTCTGCAGTTCAAATCCACCAGCCGCTCTTTGGAAACCCTACGGGGCAGTTCTACTGTATACTATAGGATCACTATGAGTCGTGGGCTTACATGGGAGAGGCACTCAGCGTGAGGGTTATGGACACCTTTTTTTTTTTTTTACCTATGAGCTTGTATGTGTCAACACTTTATATAAACACCCTGAGGAATTTCAAAGTCTTAAGTGCAAATATTGCTTAAGCAACTTTTAATCGCAGAGATGAGAGCCAGATCCGGGCGGGTCAGGTCAGGAAAAATCCAGCCCCACCCTGATGCAAGTAGTCTTTGGACCACCACTTTAAGAAACACAGATATAAACCATTGAATTTAGTCTATTTATTGCAATGTCTAATCTTGTGACAGATAATCCACTCAACTGTATATTTAAGAACTTATCTTCCAAGCCCTTATCTATCTCAGACCTGAAGGCAAGTTCCTTAAGGCAGGGATTGTGTCCAGCTGTGCCTGTATCCTCCTCCGCCCCTTCCGCCCCCTGCCCCTCAAGCACACTCAAATATTTGTCTACTGACCAGAACTGAAAACTCCAGGGGCCTCATGTGGCTTTCAGTTCCTAAATTCCTGAATTTTTGGGGGGGAGGCTGTGACCTTCTCTGGGACCAGAACGACTCTGCACATGAGGCAGCAGCAGAGAAGCCAACAATGTTCCAGGCTGATCCCATAATTAACGGAGCCAGGCAGCCAGCCCGGAGCCAGGCAGCCAGCCCAGACCGTCAGCGTGTTTCTCAATCGCGGTGCTGCCATGTGCCCCGCTGACTTCTACTCCATTTCCCTGGGCTGGAGTGAGCTAAGAAAACAGGCAAGAAGATCAGAGTGGAGCCTTGGGCAGGTGGCCAAATCCCAGCGGGGTGCAGAAGTCGCCTGTCACTACTCTCGCTCCAGGCTCACATCCAGCCAGGGCTGTGCTACTTCTACTACAGCTTGCAGGTGAGGGGAAAGGGGACTGTCATCTGCAGAATTTTGCAGAACAGGACACGAACGTGAAAACAACACGTGCTAAATGGGTGCTTTTTCCAGTTTTCTGGCCAACAGGGCAGCTGACACCTCACCCAAGTCACCCTGGGATCAAACGTGGCAAAGGCAAGCGGGCGGTCTGAAGCTCTGCTGTGTACAGGTACCACCTCCAATAAATGTGGCGAAGAACATTCTGTTGTTGAAAGAAGATCTTACAGAAAACTGTACCATATCCTAGTATTTGCAGCAAGAGGAGAAAAGGAGTATATGTAGACACTCGCTGGCCTCTGCACGAAATTCCTCCAGAAAGGGCAGAAGAAGCTAATACTGGTTTTCCTTCTAGGAAGTACCTAAAGGAAAACCATGGGTGGGAGATTTTTCACTTTTTTTTTTTTTTTTGTACCTTTGGTTTTTGTCCCTGGGTGGCTCAAATGGTTTGTGCTGGACTACTAACCTAAAGGTTGGCACCTCGGAAGAAAGGCCTGGAGATCTGCATCTGTAAAGATTACAACCAAGAATATTCTATGGAGCACTTCTACTCTAACAAATGGGGTTGCCATGAGTCAGAATCAGGGGCGGATTATCCAATAAACAAGGTACGCATGGGCTTACTTGTGCTTACTTATTAATCTGTAGGGAACAATTTCATAAGGGTTTCACCATACCACATCAAAGTGAAACCCATGCGAAACTGTTCACTACAGGTTAATAAATAAGCACAAGTAAGCCCATGCTTACTTTGCTTACTGAGCCATCCACCCGACAGGGATTGTAAATTTGAAAAGTTGCTTTGATTCTGCAGGAAAGTGCTATGGGGTTGGGAGAGAGATGCCAGCCATACCTAGAAGCAGAATCTTTTATGTGGTGAAAAAATGTGAAATTGTTCATTACAGATTAGTAAGGAAGCACAAGTAAGCCCGTGCTTACCTTGCTCACTGAGTCACTCGCCTGTCAGGGATTGTAAATTTGAAAAGAGACTTTGATTCTGTAAGGTGAGAGACAGATGCCAACCATACTAAAAGCAGAAACTCTGATGTGGTGGAAAAAAATGTGAAATTGTCCACTACAGATTAGTAAGTAAGCACAATTAAGCCCGTGCTTACCTTGCTCACTGGATAATCCGCCTGTGGTCGGAATCAACCTTGCAGCAACAGATTTTTGAACAATGTGAATGTATTTCCTAATCAAATATAATTACATTTTAAAACTTTAGTTTTCAAGCGTTAATGTAATGTTTATTTAGTATGTGCCAGGCAGGAGAGTAGATGCTGTTCTCAAAGTTGGGGGGGCAGGGCGGACACAGATGCTGAAATCATTACCTTGAAGTAAGACATCAGCAACGGGGCACAGGGAGAGGCCACCGGCCTTGCTGGCCCGGAAAAGTGGAGAACCAGGTAAGGTCCCCTCCAGGAAGTACTTTCTGAGCCGAGTCTTAAACAAGTAAGACCAAGACCAAGTGCTAGTACCGACTGCTGCAGCACTCCGAGACTCCCAGAAGCCTCAACTGTGATGGCAGAAAGTAACCTCAAGTACTGAAAGGCCACACATCCACTTTACCTACTCTCAATCCCTCGGGGGTAGGAAAAATCCCGCACACCAATGGAAAAAAAGATTTTAAAAACCAGATGCTCTATTCTACCTCCTTTTCTCCCTTCTCTCTAAAACTCACTCCACACCACAGAATCCCATCGTGTATGTTTGATAGCAAAAACCCACTGCCGTTGAGTGATTCCAACTCATAAGGACCCTACAAGACAGAACAGAACTACCCCACAGGGTTTCCAAGGCTGCAAGTCTTTACGGAAACAGACTGACATCTTTCTCCCGCGGAGCGGCTGGTGGGTTCCAACCGCTGACCTTTCCGTTAGCAGCCAAGCGCTTAACCACTGCGCCACCAAGGCTCCTTGGTATGTCTGATAAAAGGAACTGAAAGAGCTGACATTTGTAAATTGCTTAAAGGAGCGCCTGGCACGAAGTGCTTCATAAATGCTAAAGTCAAAAAGCCCAGCGGAGCAGCAGAGCTCTGCCAACATCTCCCCAGGGGGCATGGATTGCTCTGGGAGTGAAGCCTGTTGGAAGATGGATTTTCTTCCTGATACAATGTTCCCAAGCCCTTTAGCCCCTCTCGCCTCGGTTTCCTCAAGCCCGAAACTACACTAAGAAATCTGGAGCCTCCTTCAATTTCTCCACCCAGGCGATTCATCGTGTTGCGCAAAACCCCCGGGCGGGGCGCGCAGGTGGCGCCCGTGCGCCCGCCGCGCGGCAGCGGGAGCGCAGACAGGTGCCCGGGG